CAAAATTGCCAACGTGAATTAGTATATATCCCCTTGATGATTGCATACAAAAGATTTAAAAACGGTAAGCAGTGACGGCTAAGAAATTTAAACGACACGGCGTTTCTTTCCTACATAGAAAACGACCCGTGCATGTAATTGGACCCACGGTAGGCCCAACAATGAATGGGGTTTTAAAAGCAAACAAACTAATTACAAAGCAAATAACACAGGAAGTCGAGGCTATTCTCGTCTTTTCACACTCCGTCATCTGTACTGTTCCCGGTTAAGCATTACCTCCACCATCAGATCATTCCATGAATCAATCGGACCGGGTAAGCACCAGTGAAGACAATCGTTCTGAATCTGAATCTGACTCTGATTCTGAGCCTTGTTCTTCAACACAGCGAAAGGATTCGGATACCGGTACGGTCCTGGATGCCCATCTGGTCGGAGAAGCGACATTGACGTTGTGTCAAGTAATCCAATGTTGGCATTAGAACCTTCTTGGGTCTTACGGAACTCTTCAAGCTCGATACCACGCATCGATTCATCCTCGCTCTTCATCTCTCCTTCGGTTTCTTTAAACGGCATTGTTCTATTACAAAAACCACCACTGTTCCACTCTCCATTCTCGAAATGATCAGGTGTTGTTGTTCTAAACAGAACCTGAGCTTTATGGTTTGGATCAGCGACAAAGTTTAAAACCAGACGTAGCGCTTTTCGGTACGAGTACTGATAACCGAGTTCGGTTAGATTGTTCTTCCCTTGGCAGTAATGGCATCCGGTTACGGTGTTGTTTTCATGGAAGATTGATGTTTTGAGGAACCATTTTCCACCGGAGATAACAACGTAGTCGAAATTGACGTATTGATCTGTCCATTTATTGTCGAGCTTGTCGAGATGGAGCTGAATGTCTGAGTAGGATACGCCTTCGACGTTCTCAAAGGTTTCAGCTTTTAAAAGAAAAGGAGACCAAATGACTGAGAGTGTGAAGTTGTGAGAAGGGAATCTCCATATCTTTGATCTGTATTCCTTGTCATGGTAGATCTCTTCTACTTCTTCTACCTGCAAAACACCAACCAAACCGACATCAATTCAATCGAAATTTCACAGGGTACATAGAGTCAAATTAGAGATGGAACTGAAACTTGACCTGAGAGAGAATGCAGATGAGGGATTGGACATGGTTACGAGAGATGGAATCACCGATAAAAGCCCACCATTTGTTCCTCATTTTGTCAAGAAACTGCTCAGGATTAAACCTCGGAAGATCGCAACCTCGAGGTTTCCATCTCCATAGAAGGTAATTCACATCTGGTCGTCCATTCTTCAAGCAATTCTGGTGGTCTTGGATATGTCGGCAAGAGACATTGGTGTAAACCGGACCTGATGGGTCCGGTAACCAATTTCCGGTAAAGATATCACACTTGGTGGAAGCTACAAAATTGTTCATACAGAGATTTAATCAAACACTTGGTGAGCATAAAAATCCAAAGAACTTCGTTTTCACAATATTGCCAAATTTGTTTTTTTGATGTGAAAATGAAGAAAACCCAAAATTCTTCACGTTGCTTGGATCTTACTCTTTTGAATTGATTCCTCTGATTTTGGACTAATTAAATACTGTTGATCGACAAAGATTCTCTTACCGTTTTGTGAAGCGATGGTGATGTTGCCTGGGGAATCAACGGAGGCTGGAGCTTGAGCGACGGCGATGAGAACAGAAGGATCTGCCGGGAGAAATTCCGGCGAGATTTGTACGCCGAGAACAGGAGAGACGGTGGATTGGGTGATGAGAAAACGATAAGTGAGACCGATGAGAAGGAAGAAAGCGACTAATTTGAGGAAGATTTGATTGCGTTGGTGAGGAGAACCAAATGGGTTTCCTTCGATCTTCATGCTCTTAGAGAACAATCTCAATGTATCCATGGAAATGATCTGAGAGATAGATCAGTGGGTTTTTTGGAGGGTATTGAATTGTTTATTTCTTTGAGGTTTTTGGTTGTCGTTGAAAGCGAGGAGATCATGGTTAATGACAGAGTGGATTCTGTTTTTTTTTTTTAATACGAATAATTGACTTGACAATACTGCAACGAAATTATTTGATTTTTTTTTTTTATATGATGATCCTTAAGTGTTTTAAAAGATACAAATATACAAACTGTAAATAGGCATGCAAATGAGTTAGTCCAGCCCGCCCGGCCCGAAAAATATTTAGACCTATTGTTCAAAGCCCGGTCCAGTCCGAACAGGATTTTATGGACTTTTTTCTATTTAT